AAAAGGTCTATTTTCTTTCCGCATCAAATAATCAGAATTTCTGTGCCAAATAAAAACTTATGTTTTGTTAATTTTTCACCTCAGTTGGCAACTCAATTACTAAAATGAGATTTATAGACAGTAGAAAATAACAATGGGGAAAAAAACACATAACCATTAATGCAATGGATATAAACTGGGATTTTCAAAGGGGTGTAACAGTTTTAGGCACCAAAATCCCATTGAATTTCTTCCGCTGTACTCTGCTTTGGTTAGGCCTCAGCTGGAGTATTGTGTCCAGTTCTGGGCACCGCATTTCAAGAAAGATGTGGAGAAATTGGAAAGGGTCCAGAGAAGAGCAACAAGAATGATTAAAGGTCTTGAGAACATGACCTATGAAGGAAGGCTGAAAGAATTGGGTTTGTTTAGTTTGGAAAAGAGAAGACTGAGTGGGGACATGATAGCAGTTTTCAGGTATCTAAAAGGTTGTCATAAGGAGGAGGGAGAAAACTTGTTCACCTTAGCCTCTAAGGATAGAACAAGAAGCAATGGGCTTAAACTGAAGCAAGGGAGGTCTAGGTTGGACATTAGGAAAAAGTTCCTAACTGTCAGGGTGGTTAAACACTGGAATAAATTGCCTAGGGAGGTTGTGGAATCTCCATTTCTGGAGATATTTAAGAGTAGGTTAGATAAATGTCTATCAGGGATGGACTAGACAGTATTTGGTCCTGCCATGCGGGCAGGGGACTGGACTCGATGACCTCTCTAGGTCCCTTCCAGTCCTAGAATCTATGAATCTATGAACCTATAAACCTAACTCCCTTAGGCTACTGACAATCCCAACTATAATGGATGTAGTGTCCATTCATTACTGAAGATCCAAATTAAACTTCAAAACAGATGACTGTTAAAGATACTTCACCCTGCTCTGTAATGAACTAACCTGCTAATCCCTTTTCCAGTGTAGGTCCATTATCAATACAAAGAGAACTCATTTAGCACCACATACATCATTTGCACAATCAAACTAATAGAATTTTGTATCTCTTACCTCCTAATATTAATCGATCCAGTGAGAGTACAGAAGATGGGAAAAGAAATTCCTCACACCAATAGGAAACTATATTGTATGAAAAATGTTACTTCCATGTTACAAGCCAATTTTGTACTAAACTGATGTTTCCTCACCAGGAGGAACTAGGACTCCACATATCACTGTCGGTTTGACCATTTCCCCAACATGACAGCTTATTATCAAGAATAATGAACTAGCTATCTCCTTCCTGAGACTGCAAGCCACGAATGCATAACTAGCTACCTGTATTTACCCTGGCAATTTTCTTTAAATCTCTCAGGATTACACCCCCACTGGTAGAGCTATGCGGGTGCCTGGAATGGTCGGACCACTGGTGTAGTGCCTTTACCAATGCTTCACGTAACCCTGTTCTGATCCCATTGAGATGACAGGGTGATAAAAGTACTGGCATGGCAGTTTGTCTATGCTAGCACTCCTATCGTTTCTATCATGAGCGGCGCTGCGCTGGTGATACTGCACTGCTGAGAGATGTTACGAAAAATAGCAGAGAAAGCTGCAGTTCGCATCAGAATGACCGGCTGTGTTCTGACGATCAGGAGAAAAGCTACTACTTATACACAGACACATATGATACACTAGAACTAAGGCTCTGTTGCTGAGTTTATAATGACTGCCATATTGACCTCTGCAGTCACTTTACTATCACAGACTGATTTCCCACTAGCTTCCACTGGGGTAACTATCAGCCAGGGCCGTCTCTGGCTTTCTGACCGCCCCAAGACAAAAAAAAAAAACAAAAAAAAAAACAAACCTGCAGCGTGGCTGGAGCCAGGATGCAGGGGGACTCCCTGCCCTGCAGATGTGCCCCGGCTAGCGGGGGGAGGAGAGGAGAGCGGAGGAAGAGAGAGAAGGGGGGCGGCCAGGCCTTCAGCGGGGCGCTGCCACGCGGCCCCTCCCGCCGTGCCCCCTGCCGGGAGGGCTCTGCACCACTCCGGTCGGCTGGGAGGGAAGGACGCGGGCTGCCCTGCCGGGCTTGCTGCAGGGCGCTCCTATCCTCCACACCGCTGCCCCCTACAGGGCGGCTGGAGCGGAACAACAACAACAACAACAAAGCGGCCGTGCTGCCCTAGGATTGGGCGGAATGCCGCCTCCTACAAGCTGCCGCCCCAAGCACCAGCTTGCTCGGCTGGTGCCTGGAGCCGGCTCTGCTATCAGCTATGGTGGAAGTACACCATCATAAAACTGCTGGAACAGTTTGGAACAGTTTGGAGAAGCCAGCGCCCAGTGTCCATGGTAACACATTGTTTCATAACACTTGGGATTCCTAGAACAAGGAGGAGTTATATCGTAGCCTCGTGTGTCTATTTTGCAGCCTCCTGCCTGCGTGGTAGCAGAACCACAGTGGTTTAATTGTTTTGGAGGGCTTCCCGGGCTCCTCCTGATGGGTGTATTTCAACTAAAGGTTTTTAATCAAAAGGGTTCAGAATCAGAACTTTAAAAAATAATTCTAAGGTACAGTTTGAGTTTACTGTCCATGAATAAATCCATGTTTTGGGATTTTTTTCTCTATGTACTATTCCCCCTTAATGGGAGAATAGATTCCAGTACATACATGAAAGCACAAGAAGAAAATTCATTGTCCCTGGGTGGGTTAGGATACCAATCTAGCCTGAGTCAGAACAGAATGGCCTTTTTATGTGACAACAGAAGTAGCATCTCATGTCCAAAATGCATATCCACTGAGGCAAGGTGGGGATAGAGAGCTGGGGGTTCCCCTGGGAGGGGAGACCCAGACACTGGGTTACTGCTGGGGGCAGAACCCTGACCAAAGGAGCACCAGTGTCCGGGAGGGACACGGGGGCCTGAGGTGGGAAAGACACCAGCAGAAGGAGGCGTTCTGTATGCTGAAGAACTAATTCCCAAGACGACCAGCAAGAGACGCCGTGCCAGTGAGTCCTCGGGTTGCTACAGGTGGGGAAGAGAGAAAGAAAGAACCATACATAACAGATGTTAGTCATGTCATTTACTGCACGCTTGGAAGGTGCTCAGATACCATGGCAATGAGGGACATATAAGAATCTGAATAGAATAAGGATAGTACATGATGCTATGGGGATTTTAATTTACATTAGGGCCATTTTGGCCCCTTGTCCAGCCCAGAATCCAGGCGGCATGAAAGCACGAAGCCACCTCCTACTAGGCAATGCTGTTTTCTGCTGCACATCAGCTATACCCGCAGAGTAAGAAAACATGGTTTTCCTTCTAATCGAACACTCGAGCAAAGTGTGTGTATTAATGTAACCTGTAAAACACCTCATATGCAGAAACAAAGCTGTAAGTACATTATAGATTAAATACCAATGGTCTGTAGCTTCAGAGAAATGCACATTAATATGAAATAGTTCCACAATGTTGGTATCCTTCAAGAAACAGACGCGTGTGACAAGTACAGCTGTTCTGCACTGTTATATTGTCCAACATAACATTGCTTGTACACTTATTGTAGAATTATTACACAATAACTGAAGAGGGTTTTTTTATGCACATTGCAATGTAACTACAGTTAACCTGTACGCTTTTTATGCTAACTGCATGTATTTAAAAGCATAGCTATGTGGAAGTTTGTGTAATCAGGTCAGATTCACATACTTGAACTAGTTGTGCACGCCTTTTCTGACACAAATAATGAACTGTAAGGTTCACAAAACTCCAGAGTTCACCCATCTCAAGTATGGAGTATCACATAGTGAAACAAGTGCGTTGTGCAAACACACAATAACACCAGAGATACACACCGGTGATTATTAAAACAAGGCATAAGCATTCAGTTCTAGTATCCAGAGGCGCACATATCTGAATGTCCAATCATTCAAATAGACTCATATGCATGTATTTGAAGGATCACTTTCAGATGAACTCACCTGTGTCTATTTTAATGGGTGATCATAACACACTTCCAGGTTTGTTTCTTGGCTTTTTAAACAGACTGTTTGCCTTACATTTACTACACTTGTTAGTGTCATGCTTTTTAATGTGTCATGCAAGCCTACTTTGCACAACAAAAACAGTGGGTCGGAAATCTCTCTCCTGCTCAGGGTTTGAGTAGCTGTATTAAGACTTAAAAAAAAAATAGAAGGCCAAATTTTGTACTCAGTTATGCCCAAGTTACCCCACTCAAGCCAGTGGGTTTGCTTAGGTGTAAATGGGGGCTGTCACATTGATGCAAACCATCCTAAACACTTTTAAACTGTGCTAAATTTCTTAACTAGGTTTAAAATGCACAGAGCCCATGCCAGTGTTTATATTAGGACAGAAGTCAGTCAATAGCACAGACAAAGCCTCTCAATGCATTTTTACAAGTTACCCAACTCCTTCATCATTTCACATGGCTCAGGTCATTGGCTATGAGTAATATCTTATTTCATGACTAGCCCCTTTGGTTTCAGTGGGACCGATCATGGAGGAAGGGTGACAGAATCTAGCCCTTGGTTTCTGTAGAAATAAAGGGTTAAAAGGCTTGTGGCAACCAGGGCCGGCGCCAGGCACCAGCCCACCTAGCTTGTGCTTGGGACGGCACCTGGATGGGGGCGGCGTGGTGCTCCGGCTCCGGCCGCCGGGGAGAGCGGAGCCGCAGTGGGCTCGCCGCCCTCCCCGGCGCTCTGGCCGCCGGGGGAGAGCAGAGCCCCGGCCAGGCTCGCCGCCCTCCTCCCGGCGCTCTGGCCGCCGGGGAGAGCGGAGCCCCAGCCGGCTCTCCGCCCTCCTCCCGGCGCTCTGGATGCTGGGGAGAGCGGAGCCCCAGCCAGCTCTCTGCCCTCCTCCCGGCGCTCTGGATGCTGGGGAGAGCGTAGCCCCAGCCGGGCTCTCCACCCTCCTCCCGGGGCTCCGGCCGCCAGCGGAGCCGCGGTGGGCTCGCCGCCCGCCCCCCGGTGCTCCGGCCGGTCGGGGAGAGCGGCCCACGGCCGGGCTCGGCCCCTTCCCTGCCGCGCTGGGGGTGGGGGCGGCGGGAGGCTTTTTTGCCTTGGGTGGCAAAAAAGCCAAAGCCGGCCCTGGTGGCAACTTACAGAACTATGTCCTGGCTGCACTGTCGTGGCTTTACTAACAGGAAAGCGTCACACTGCAGAGACAATAGCATTCCCCCTTACAGCTATTTCAACAGGCAAATATGGCACGGGAAGAGTCATTCCACTCATTTTCTCAAAGTTAAAAAAGAGATCAGTACTTGAACTCACTTCTCAAAGCTCCATTTTGACAGGTTACATTAAAACGTACAGCAGGCGTATTCATAAGGAAGTATATAGTGCCTCCTTTATGGGCCAGATTCTGATACCATTACTCAGACTGAATAGTACCTTCCTCCCACTGCCCTTTGACGCCAATGGATCTACCGTTGGAGGATGGTGCTACTCAGTAGGGTTGCCGCCTGGCCTGGCCAGTTTTTCTGCTGCCTTGCTGGTTCCTGGTCAGCGGATGTGGCATGCCAGGTTTTATTTGCTGCCAGCCATGTGCTTTGCAGCTGAGGGACAACACGCTGAAGTCCAGCCAATGCCCTGGTCTTGCTCTGTGTGTGTGTGTGTGTGACAAGCCAGGGGCTCCTGGGGTGGGATGGGTGTGGGGGCAAGCTGCTAGGGGGAGGACGGTCAGGCTGGCAGTGGGGGCACAGCCAGTGGCAACCCTCCTATACAGATATCAGATTCTGGCCCGATGTGTTCAAAGCTACCTCAACAAAGAGTCTATCTAGAGAGCTCTGTATTGTGCTGCCCATCCCTAGCAAAGCTCTCAGCATTCTGCCACTGGCATGGCAAGTTCAGTATTGTAACCCTGAGTTACTCATTAGGGTTGTCATAACGTACAAAAGAAAAGGCTAAAACATGTATTTAAAAATAAAATAAATGTAATATCCATGCCCCTCCCTCCCAATCTCCAAAATACACACTGATTCCTAAGCCTGGGAACTAGCAGAGCTGCCATCTTTCACAGTTATATCAAGATTAACACCCTGCCTATGACGTGATCCCAAACTCAAACCTGTAAATGCCAAACAGACAAACGCTGGGAACGGGAGCTGGCAGGAAGGGTATGGGAAATATGGACTGAGAAGCAAAAAGCAATGGAACTGCTCTTGCTCCCCAAGTGCATTCAGCAACCTTAGTGCCTTTTCTTCCTTAATGATCTACTCTGATTATACTAAAAGGCTCTGGTAAGGTTAAGTGGATGACTACACTTCAGCTGGGAGGTAGAATTCCCAGCCTGGGTAGACAGACACGCGCTAGCTCTGCAGAAGTTAGCATGCTAAAAATAGCTGGTGGCTGCAGCAATATGAGCAGCGGCTCCGGCAACCCACCCGAGTACAATTTCACCTGACCCTTTGGGGACGTACTTGGTTGGCTAGAGCAAGCCGCTGCCCAGTCTGCTGCAGCTGCTGTGTAGACACATACCCTAAAACACAACACTCACATGCACAAAGCAACATTTCAAGTGTTTGGTGGAGAAATGTGTTTCTAGTTAGGCTGTATGGGGCCAATCAGGGATACAAAGGTTGATCAGAACATATGACAAGGCAGAAATCACACCACAAACCAATTCACCTGAGCTAACAATTCCAGGTCCTACCTAAATGGGTTCCCAAGAGAGGGAGGCATTACTATCTCTCATGGTGGTGTTGCCACTAGGTTCAATGGGTCCCCTGTGTCTCCTGCTCAGCCTCGGGAGGAACCGGATGCCCTCAAGACACCGCAGTTCCGTTCTGTGGGAGCAGAGAGGCCAAGCAGGGGGATTCTACAGCACCTTGCACATCACCACCACAAGTCTCTCCAAGAAAGCATGTTAGGACAGGGCATGTGGGGGAGTCACAGGAATGGCATTTGGATACCCAAACTGTGTGGGATATTGGCACATTTATTTGCAGGCACCATCTAGAAGCCCTGGAAGGCCCATCACCATCACTACTGTCCCTTATTTTTCCTCCTCCTTTACTAAGGTTATGTCTACACTGCAATTGGAGGTCTGACTGCAGCTCAGGTTGCGTACCCAAGCTAGCTCAGCACAGGCTGCGCAAGCACATCAGTGGCTCTGGGTACATACTCACGTTGCTAGCCCATGCCCCCGCACCTGCACTGCTATTTTTAGGTGTGCTAGCTAGGTTAAGCTAGCATGGGTACGCCAATCTGTTCTCCAATCACACCTCCAACTGCAGTGTAGACACACCCGAACGGGTCAAATATCCTGATCCACTGAACTCAGTGGCACACCTGACGCTAATATCCATGGGCGCAAGTTTTGGCCTCAAATGAGATGTTCAAAATCAAGACCAATGCCTGTTGTAAAGCCAGTAAGAACGTGCAGTATGAACTATCAGCTACCCTCACCTGACTCCAGCCAAACCAACGTCTACCCCAAAGTCCTAAACAGTGGGGAAGAAAGGGTACGGTATCTATTAGTAACTCAGGGGCCGGAAAGATGGGTAGAGTAGTAGCTCTTGGTGATTTTACACTCTTGTGCAAAACTCTGGCTTAGCAAGCACACAAGAAATCAAAGCCCTGCAGTACCACAGGTGCACTGATATGTAAGTATCACTGGGAGTTCAAAAGCAGATTGTGCCACACGCAAGTTGCTTTACAGTTGATATGTGTTACAAGGTGAGGTGGGAGAGAGATTCGTTGGGGTGAAATTCATGCTTGTGCAGAGGGCCACCACAAGGCCGACGTGCTATTAACGTTCCACTGAAGACCTCAAAATACGGCTGAAGTGATGCATAGAACCTTACGCTAATCCTCTGCATAGGAGAAAATTTCATCCTCGTATCAGTTAAAGTATATTCAAACACAGTGTTGGGTTGGTCAGTTTCTACTTCTTTTTGCTACCCTTATTCTCATCCTCCCTTTATTCTCCACTGGTTTAAATGTCACTCACTACAGAGTTGCAGATCTAAAGAACGTCAATAAAGAAACAGCTTCTCACCTATAGCCTGATCAAGCACCCATTGAAGTCAATGGATGGACTGCCATTAAATTCCATGGCCATCAAATCAAGTCACTAGTAGTTTTGTCTAAAGTCTCATCTTTGCAGTGCTAGGGTACCTTAGCAAAGCATTTTCATATGTAATGCAGTGTAAACTCAGTTCAATTACCACCAAAATGATCATACTCAATTTTAAAGGTTAGGGATTATAATGTAATGGTTCCAACTGAAATGTTTAATTTGTTAGTGTCTTCCCTGTGCTTAATGAACAATTATACTGCAAAGTAAATCAGCTGGAAAGATAACAGTCATTATTTAGTCTTTAAGAGCCAAATTCTGCTTTCATATTCACTAGGCTGACCAGACAGCAAGTCTGAAAAATCGGGAAAGAGGGTGGGGGGTAATAGGTGCCTATATACAACAAATCCCCAAAAATCAGGACCGTCCCTATAAAATCGGGACATCTTGTCACCCTAATATTCACACATATTGTCTTCAATGGGAATTGTGTGTTAGCTGAATTTAGCTCATTGTGTTTTCTAGTATTTTAAGAATTTAGATCCCCCCCACATATTAAATATAAAAATGATTTAAATTGTCCATTATGCCTCCTATGGATTTTGAATGACAATTGAAGACACATTTGATTTATCCGTAGTCTATTTTTATGGCTTGGGAAAAGATTTCTGATTTTTCAGCACTGTTGCATTCCCTGGACAATTGAAAGAGTAGCTGAAATTCTAATTTAGTAGAAGCTCACGCTGCATTTCCATGGATGACATAAAACAAAATACTAATGACCAATGCTTAGTTTGAAACAGTAAAGATTATTTGTATAACAGTCTTTTTGCCATTACACCTTTGCATATTGTTCAAAACAATATTTCATAGTCTAAAGACCGGCGACATTTTTGATCACAGAAAATCAACAACAAAAAATAGTTAAAAATAGTCTTCAGTGGACTTTGTTTAGGAATATTATATACTTTTCCGGCTGGCATAAATGAGTCTCAGGGACCACAACGATAAGAAAACAAAAACTGCTCTAAACGATTTCACAAGCTTACACTGATACATCTCTTATTTCCTGGTCTGGCTGAACAAGAACAAGCTTTCAGGTAGCCAGTGATAAGTTTGTCTCCCTCTACCTTGGAGATCATGTTGTTAAAATAAGAAGCTTTACAAAACGATTTAAAACAGATTTGAGATGTAAGCCTCCATGGGGATTTACACTCATTGTTTGCATGCCTGTTAAAAACTGTATTTCCAGTCTCTCTTGTGTTGCCTGAGAACCATTTTGCCCTTGTAAAATCTGCAATTATATTATAACCCATAAGTAGCTTTCATTTTTGTATTAAACACTATAAATACTATGTTAGTAATACTAAACTATTTCTATCGACTTATTTGTAAAAAGAAAAATATATTATATATTTATATTTTTTATAAAGTGAATTAACACTGGGAAGGTGTGGGGAATAGTGTACAATCACAGTTGATGTGTATTATTGGGCATAAATTCAGAGCTTAACAAAAAACTGTTCAATTGAAATCCACCTTTCAGGCCGTGTCGGAGGAAGAGTCATAAGAAGCCGACACTATGAAGTTGCCAGAACTGGAGTGGCTTGCCATAGACTGGGCAGCTTGTTGACTTAAATTGTTACAGATTAGCACCAGCTGGTTACTCTGTGCTTCGGACAGGGTGCTGCAGCTCTGGTAGACGCTGAAGTTGGTCTTTCTGCCAGGGATGTTGCCCTTCTCGCACATCGTCTTTACCATCTTTGCAAGCTTGTTTTTCCCCAGGGCTTGACAGTTGTACCAATGAAGTGCAGCCAGGTTGACAACTGGCTTGATAGACAGGTAGAAAGGAGCATCTTCGTATCGCATGGCAGGGGGCCGTCTTTGAGCGTACTCCTTGTAGTCTTGCACTGGGCAGGTCTGTGGAGCATGCTGGGTGGCATAGACTCTGGAATCAGTCCCTCCTCTCTTGGTTTTGGCATTCATATCCCCAGTCTCTTGCCCCATCCACTCCAAGTATTCCAAGCCTGTTTCTGTCACCCTGAGCCTGATATCCCCCCATTTGAGGGTGGACCCATGAAAACCTGTACAGTGTCCAAACGCCTTAGTATTATTTAGCCAGACAAGGTTCAGCAGCCCCTCGGGATTATATCGACTCAACAAGCCTCTTTTGCGTAGGATAAGCTCATCAGCAAAGGTCAGCTTCATGGATTTGTGTGGCTTGTTTCCTTTACCTTTACACCTCAGCTCTATCTGCTTTTGCTTCAAAGCTTCTTGAGATCTCTTGAACTCCTTATCCCTTGTAATACTGTATCCATACCTGTGTTCTTTGAGATAGCGCTCCAGCCCGCACTGATAGTTGGCCAAGCTGTTTGGCTCATATTCTGAGCCATCCTTCTGTCTGGCATCCACAAAGAAGGAAGCTAGGTATGCATCGAGCTCTTTGCAAGGGATGACATAGATTTCCCGGGTTTCTGAGGGATATTTGGAGATGAGAAACTCTCTGAAGTTACGGAGAGCCGTCTGAGTGCTGCGAATGGTTTTCTCATTCTGCTCCCTGCTGAGTTCCGCTGCTCTCTCATCCTGGTCTGACAGAGGAAAAAGAATAGACAAGGGAACAATGAGTTTGTGCGACGTGTTTTCCCCCAAAATAATTTCCTTAAGAAAGGAAAAAAAATCAATTTCACAAAGATCATTGGAAAACATTATTACATACCTGTCTCATGTTTGAAAAGCCAACTTCAGTTTCACAAATGATGTTACTAGAGTATGGCAAAAAAACAATCAAAATGAGCTCCTCCTGTCACTGGCGCACACTTGGGCGCATGGAGATTTGTGGACAAGTCTGGGACTAGAGGCAAGTCTGCATTTTCGAACAAATGTGAGATAGAAAACTTGTAGATTGATTCCACTGCTGTGCGCAGGGGCCCAATTCGAGTAGCTAAACCCATTCTGAATTGCTTCATTTGTGAAACCAGAGGTTGTACTGGTTCCAATTAAAAAACAAAACAAAAACTAAAGCATCATATTTATTCCATTAAAAAGTATCTTTAATGAGATGCATTTTCAAGGACTAAATAAATATAGACAGAAATGTACAGAACAGTATTATAACACAACACACCCAAACACAAAGGGTTTGCAAATAATCATACTACAGTGCAATGCATAGTTTACAAGCAGGGCCGGCCCTAGATCAAATGGCACCCCAGGCGAGGACCATCTTTGGCACCTCCCCACCCCCCATTTGTTAAACTTTTGAATACCTTATTTTTTATTGCATTTGTAGCCCATTTCGCGACTTTGATGCACAATTTGCATGCATGATTTATCCCGGTCATATAAGACGATAAATTTGCACACTAGGATATGTAAATCTGTATTTATTCATGCACCGTACCCTGAGCCCAGCACCCCAGGCAGTCGCCTGGGTCACCTGCCCCTAAATCCGCCCCAGTTTACAAGTGTACAGATATGAAAGATATAAAATATTTCATCTTTAGGGGACAGAGAAGAAAAACATCAGTAGCTACCAAGACAGCACTCCACAAATTCACTTAGACTTAAGATCACCTACACAATCAGGTTTCTTCTTGAGAGTGGAACCATTTCTCCTTGAGGAACTGACCTTTCTTTCATGCTGGAAACCTTGGCAGAAGATCAAAATCTGGAAACAATTTTATGCTGGTCTACAAGGATATTTTTATAGGCCTTTGTGATCAGTGACAAATCAAACCACAGTTGTTAATCAGAGTTCAAGCCATCCCTAAAGATAACTTTTGTTGAGTTACTAATTTTCTTGCTGATCATGGCATTAAAAGCATAAAAAGGAAAATGGTCCTTACATTTAAATTACATGTGATATTGAAAGACTATTTTCTTTACATGTGCAAACCACCCATCTATACAAGATTGTAATTTAGAAGCACAAAAGGTGGAATGGTCTCTTCAGGTATATGACAATGCTTAATGGCATTAGAAAATGATCAACAACAAACACAAAGAGGCAATATTTCAGTGACAAGCACAAAGAATTAGCTATGCTCTGTTGTAGTTAAAGGAACTTGGTTCTGATGTTTTTCCAATTAACAAGCAGAAATGATTCAGGCCTTTTTTATATGTCATTAAAAAAAAACACTACATACAATTTCATTGTGTTTTGCCCTTTGCAGGTCACCTTTAAAAGTGTCCTTATTTATAACCACAGATAAGTCCCGGCATTTGCATTTCAGTGAGAACACAGTAACACCTAGCGACCAGCTAGATTTATCCAACTTACATATTACTTACAAATGTTGTATAAGGCAATGTGCACTACCCACTCTTCCTGTTTAAATCAGACCAAAATAACATCAGGCCAGTTAACTCACCCATGTTTGGTGGGTGATGCTCACAAATTCACTTTCGTCTGCTAGCCCTCAAACACTGGCATCATCCACATTTTAAAGCGTTTTGGAGGATAAGTCGGATTTTTCAATTGGTCTGAAGCTACATATCGTCTGGACCTCAATTCTGGGCACTAGGAGAAGCTGGAACTGGCCATTTCCCCAGATTAGATGAGTCCGTTCTCTCATGAAAAACAATCCCAGCACCTCCAGTCCCCCCTCCTGTTAGCCCTGTGAATGGTTCTCACTCTCAGCCCTGCCTGCAGAAGGGAAAGAAGCCCAGGTGCCCTGACGGCACTGTGACATACCATAACAATGATATTCAGGGTTGCTCTCCAGTCACCCCAGGTCCCCTGCTCATTGCAGTGAATTGCAGGAGGAAGAGGAAATCTGTGAAATTTAAAGAGGAGACAGGACCAAAGGCCAAACAATGTACTGGATGCCTGTCCTCTTTGATTGCTATTTATCACTTTCGTTTTCTTCCTGAAAAGTTGACAGGTATGTAATTTGGATGTCAGATGTTTAAGTCTGACAAGGTGTCATATTTACATTTTTCTTTTGATCATTGTGACAAAGATGAAATGTTTCTAATATACACATAATTCACGAGAACTAGTGAGTCTCCAAGGACTCAACATGGATGCATCTTGAGATATCTATTCAACTCCAGTATTTCATCTATTGTTCAGATAAACATAGGAGTTATATTGTCCTGTATTCACTTAACAAGAGAAAGAAAAAAGCACAATACAGTCACCATACTGTTTATTGTCTGATGCATGTTTCCAAGAGTAATTAGGATCAAAACAGAAGTTCTGCAAAAATGCTGCTCCATCTTTATTTTCCATTAATTACTTCCATATTGAAAATTGCTTAGTTTACAAGTAACTATGGTTTTTTTCCCCTAATAGCCAGCAAAACATGATGACTTTAGTATCTGAGAATCCAACTGTAGTCTATCTACTTTCAACCTCATCATCACCAACAATAAGGATCTGGAATCAGAAATCAGCTGGCACTTCTGCTGATGATGAATAAAAATGAACTGTTTTTCAACAGCTGCATTACTTCTGCACTACTGGCATTAGTAAAACTTTTTTTATGGAGGGGGGGAAGAGGGAGGTCAGGGAACTAAACAGACATGATTTGAAAGAGACACAAGTCTAAATCCTGCCCTTGCTGTCACCGTAAAGGGTTCCGTTATCACATCCTTCCATTTCGGTGTATGTACAGTATGGCCTTATTGGGGTATTAAAGCCTTGATTCAACAAAGCACATGAGTATCCCACTGACACATGTGCTTCAGTGCTTTGCTGAATCAGGGTCTAAGGGCAGAATGATCCTTTCTCCCTGTGTAACTGAAATAGGTCATCTCTGCTGTCTAGGTGATGATGGACAGCATGTATAGAGCCTCAGCATATGACAAAACCAGCTTTTGCCTATCTCTGAAGATCATCTCCCTTGAGGCTCCTGTGAGGCACTGAGTGTTCTCATTAACTCTGGGGGGAGCAGAGAGAGGTCAGCCCCACACAGGAGGTGCTCGGGATCTTGTAGGTTCAGTCCCTAATCCACTTGAGTGCTGCTGCTTTATTCTGTCCTGGAATGAGAGCCTCACTCCTGCCCTGGCCCCATACACTGGGCCAGTGCAGTGTAAAGGGGCCCTAAAAGCCCTGGTTCCAGCCGGGGGAAGATTCCCCCAGGATGGTTACTGGAGAACACAGACATAAGGCTACTCTTCGAGGACCCCCATCAAAAGCTGCAGAGCAGGGGGTGTGCCAGGGTGCGTCTGGGAGCAGAAGGCTGTGTCAACGACAGATGGGGCTCCAGAGATTTCAGACAGGGGTGCCTAAATTATCCTGGGGGCCTCTCCAGACCCCCAGAGCAACCCAAGATTGGGAAGGTGCATTCCTCCAGGGTAGACAACTAGTATTGGCAGCCCCATTTTATGGATAGAGAAACTGAGACACGGAGAGATTAAGTGACTTGCCCAAAGTCACGCAGAAGGGCCAGGAACAGAACCCATATCAGATCTCCTGGTCCCAATCTTGCTTCTTAACCAGAAGGCCAGGCATTCAGTGGAACCTGCCTATGGGATGTTGATTCCCATGCAGGATAAGTGGAATTGTAAGGGTCTAGGACTGTAAACATCCCCTTTGAAGCACGTGCCAGCTGTCAAACGAACACTGCTGAATCAGGTTTCTGCAGTGAACATGCAAATAAAAAGTAACAGCTCTGTTTTGAAGACTAACCACAATATTGATGTTGATATAAAGAACCCCCCGTATACCACAATGGAGACTAACCTGGATCAATGCCTGGGAGAAATCCTTTTATTCTGGTAGGGTACAGTGTTGAAATAAAGAGCTGATGCTGTTTAAAGCATGGGAACAAACATTCACTTCAGTACAGCAACCACCATTTATAAGTCATCAGTATTTTGACTGGCAGCCCACATTTCCACCCCCACCCTCAGACACACTTTTAAAATACTGCTTCTGTATACATAGCACATACAACGGCTTCCTGTTAAATATGCCATAAATCATCACTTGTTAAAGGATGGCTTGTCACAACACAGGAGCAACACACAGTCACTCATCTTCTCTGAACTTGTGAAGATAAATTTCCTATCTGCAAGTAAGCTGTTCTAAATCCTCTGTGCTGTAAAGATGCCTGGTAGTTACTATTAACTATTAACAAATCAGTGCCTTCACTATCTTCTGATGAATTATTTCAGTGGTCTGGTGTGTCACTTTGCATGGGAGGCAGGGACTTTTAAACATAATGGGGCAGATGCGCCACTGGTGTAAGTCAGCAGAGATTCATGGTAGTCAGCAGATTTACATCCGCTGAGAGTCTGGCGAAATGGGCCTGATTTGCCACTGTATTACTCTGATTTTATGCCGATGTAACTGTGGTGAATCATGCCCATTACGTTAAAACGCCGCACCTCCATTGGCGCAAGCCAGGGGTAATGCCGTGCAGAATCACGCCGTAGAGCTATAATTCTGACACAACCAGTGTCGACCCAACAGAGATTTCAAACAGCAACCTGTATTCGACGAGAGTTGGAAGGCGGCAAATAATTCTGTTTCTATTCTCCCTGGCCTCATTAAAATCTTAACTCCCCCCATCTCACTTATAGGAAATGAGGAAGAAGGGAAGGTTTAAAAAAAAAAAGTTAATGTAGCCACAAAAATGTG